CCCTAATTTAGACAAGTAGTAAGACTAGAGGGAAGGCAGCTAGTATCACCACCCACCGCCAACGCTTGCGCTACTACTTTACCAACGAACAGTGGGATTGATCGTAACATTATAAAACCCCCACGGCTGAAAGTTTGGTGTGACAGGGATTCGAACCCCTGACCCTTAGATTGCGAGTCAAGCGCCATAACCACCTGGCCATGCCAGACAGTAAAAGTCTGATTAGTGAAATATTAAGTTTAATATTACACACAAACCTAAACCGTATTTCTATTATACTCAAGCTTCTACAAACACGCGCTTTATAATTAAAACAAGAACAAAACTAGTGAAATGTGAAAAACGTAACATTTCATCGATACTCCCGAATCATTTTTATACTTAATTTTAAATCCTCTTACATTTTTGGAAAAACGGTTACTTGTTTATCTAAATTGTGCTTTAAGTAATTCATATCTTCCTGTAATCTTATAGCTTCTTTACTACCAGTACCAAAATCATATCGCTTCACATTGCCAACTTTTTTATTTTCTCTTTTTTTTTTTACTTTCTAAATTATTTTAGTCAGCATAATATTAATGAGATGTTTAAAGTTCAGTCGTATTAATATTTTCTTTTTTTCAAATATAAGTTTTGATAGCCCTTTTAAACTATCGTAAAATTGCTGGCGCTTTTTCCCTTATCGTAGTCTTCCAGACCAGAAAATTAGTGATGACTATAGGAATGATAGTGGTGAAATGCATACCGGAAAAAAAATTACTAATCGTTATTAAAGTTCTTTTGGAATTTCACAATTTGCTCCAGTAATGTAACAGTATGACAGTACTTTTCAAAATACTTTATATTTTGCTTTATTTATTTATTTGAACGGTAATCCAAGGAACTTTTCTTTTTTGGAATCCAGTAGAGTTCTTTTATTTTATAGTATTTCTTGGCAGTCACATTTGAATAGTAGATGAAGTACCATTAACTTGCAGAAAATTCAATACTCCATACACTGTGAGGCCAGGTCCTGACAAAAGTTAGTACCTGTACGTCTTTAATGTGTATTACTCAAATGATTTAAATGATTGATGCCAAATGCATTTTTTCCCCACAAAAATCATTATCTGGCTGCTATCCAACTAACTCAATACTCATTATAACATAGTAATATTTCAAGACTTAAATGAGTAAAACAACATAAGTTGACTGGAAGCTCAAGATTTAACTGAGTAAAACATCATAAGTTAATTGGAAGCTCACTTCATTTTACTGAAATCATTTACTCAGAATTTTAATTTGTTCCTGTCTGTCTCACTGGTGATTTAAAGCAGTGTTTTATTGTCTTACATCTACACTTACACCATTACAGAAAGAATTTTTTTGGCAAATATTAAGTACCAGGAAATAAACAGTGCCACATAAGGTATCTCGATGTATCAGAGGAACAAACTTTCAAACTGAATGATACTTGCCATTTCCCACTACTAATTTTTTTTACATACTATTTTGCAATATAATAATAAATCACTAGTGATGAATATAATGTTCAATATGTCATAAACTGTGTATGAACTACAACTTAATATTCAGAATCACAATTGAAATGTTAAAACTTTACAGTGAATAGATTTACCTGGAATATAGTTAGATAATCACTGATGGATATAATTATTTATACGATAAGGTGTCGCAGTTGGGATACAACAATGTATAATATGGTGATGTAATGCGGATACAATAATACACATGATCAAGTGTTGCAACGGAGATAAAATGGTGTATAAGATAAGGTATTGCAATAATGTATATAAATAATGCTGTGAGGACACTATGTTGAATATAATTTTACTATAATGGTCATAG